CAGGCTGTGTGTGCAGTGTGTGTGTGTGCTGCACTCACAGGCGTGCGGCAGCTGGCAGCACATCGCTGGCTCACCGCCCACATTGCCACAGCACCGATAAGGTGCCGAAAACACTGTCAGGCCTTTCAGATAAGAAAGATTCAGGGCAAGGGAGAGACCAGCTCGAGAGCACAGCACTTGTCAGGGTTGTAGCAAGGATGATAAGCCAGGCGCGGGAGGCTGGCGGGGGAGCGCTGGCACCATCTGTCCAGAGCAGAAGTAAGAGTGAGGCTGAAGGGCACCCTTCACCCCGGCAGCTGAAGATTGTCCTGACACCCACCCCTGGTGCTGAGTACCTGTGCTCCTGCACCCACATGTTCACGCTCACTAACGCAGTTCTGAGGTGCTTTTGCTGCTGCCACAGTCACCCCTAAAAGGGCTCAATATTTCAATTCTTTCACAAGGGAGGGTCAGAAGCAGAAGCACAAGCACTAACTTACTGTGTGATCACTCACTCACTCCCGTCCTTACCCAAGATACGACGTTATCAGCTGAAGTGAAATCTGCATTATTCTCTTCCACAAGAAAAATATTTTATATCTAAGGAGACATAATAAATGATACAGCTCCTGAGAGTAAGTTCCACATATCATTCTTTCACAAGGGAGGGTCAGAAGCAGAAGCACAAGCACTAACTTACTGTGTGATCACTCACTCACTCCCGTCCTTACCCAAGATACGACGTTATCAGCTGAAGTGAAATCTGCATTATTCTCTTCCACAAGAAAAATATTTTATATCTAAGGAGACATAATAAATGATACAGCTCCTGAGAGTAAGTTCCACATATCAGCTCTTCCCCCCAGCCTGTCTGTCCTCATTAGCTTTTGGGCAGCGGCGGCGGCAGCAGCAGGAACCGGGACCCCGGGGTTCCCTGTCACCAGCATCGGGGCGGTGGGCAGGATCTCCGCTGGGACCAGGCCTGGGGAGACGGGCCCCAGGTAGGGGTTGAAGGCAGCCGATGCGTTGGTGGCTAAGCTCGGTGCAACGGAAAACATCGGCTGCAATTAGAGAAAAGAAGAAGACAGACACTTTCAATATTAGTACTCGCCATGCTGTTAGCATAACAACTTTCTGGCTATCATCCTGAGGAGCACGGCAGTGAGTTTCTGTTTCTGATGGGAAAGAAGCATTTATCGTGTTTGTGGGACATGAAGAACACGCGTGCAAACATCACACACGAGTGAGTCCATGGGGACAGACATCCCCCACCAGCCCCTGCTGGTTCTCCTGCTCAGGTTTCCCCTGCACGCCCACAGCACACGGCAGCTCCTGGAGCAAACTCTCACTTGAGCAATGCCATCATACACGAGTGCTCCTCATGGCCGTGGAGAAACCCTGAGGGTCTCGGAGGGACACGTCCAAAATGAGTACTAACATCCACTCTCGGGGGAAAAGGCATCTGTGCGGGAGCCCCGACACTCCATCAAACCACCCTCAGCTTCAGACACTGATAAATAACATTTCTGCCCCTGACAACAGCCAGCACTGCTTCAGAAATGACAGAGGTTTAATACAGGAACAAGATCAGACGACCATAATAATTTATTTTTACAAAATTAAACAGGCTGTCCACGCAGATATCCAGAAGCAAATACACCATATCAAGGATATGCTTTATTTAGACTAAAACATTCAGCCAGAGAAAGAGAGAGAGCATGCAAATACTGGGGCTTTTTGACTGTTTGCTTGTTTTAAAAAAGGAAGGAGTCAGATGCCCTTGTAGCTATCACATGTTGTGCAGATAATTGGATGTAGAAGACCAAATAATGCTGTAAGCCCAAATGCAGAGCTGTTACACTGCAGGAAAGATTAAATAACACCTCTGCCCCTCTGAATGCAAAGGTACTGGGCTACTTACTGGTGTAATTGCCAAATAAAATCTAGTCGGGAGTGTTTACCTTTAGTATCCAAATAAAAGACTTACTCAAGGCATTTAGATTTTCTTCCAAACTAATTTTTAGAGGGAAAAACAGCTACAGAGCTAACACAACTCTTTTTCTCTGTTTCCTATCTGTTTAAGCCAGGCAGCATATAACACCACATGTTTTTGTATTCCTGAGGAAATGACTGCACCGTTTGGAAGCAAGGAACAAGCTCGTTGGAAACACTGGACAAAAACACACCCAGAGATGACTGAAGAAAAAACACTCAAAGTTGGGCAAATTTCTTTAACGTCTCTGGTTCTTCATCCATGTGAATGAAAAACAAACAGGCAAACTTTACAGGAAATAAAATATTACTCTTAAATACACTATTAATTAACCACGCTTTTCATTACTGTGTTATCACCTATGTAATAATGAACCTTGAAAATAAAACCACAAACAAGTCTGTTAGTGTGTAACTTCAGCGATATCCATGTTTGATTTCAGCCCAATATGCTCAGGGTACGGGAAATGTTCTTTAAAGAGAAGCCAGTCCAAAGAGAGAAAACAAAATGTAGCATCTTCTCACGCTGTGCTAACAGGTACTAAAGTCAATTTACTGTGACGATCCTACCACAACATTTTCTGCTTTTCTCCCCCACATACACTTTTTCTTGCAACAGCCAAGGCATAGAGCTCTGAGGGACCATAACAGTTCTATTAACTGAATCAAATACGCTAAAAAATATTTACTGCTGTTCTGGAGACCCACAAAATGTGGGGACAAGTCAGCATTTGGCAGAAGGATGAGAGTCCTTTCTGCTAAGAGGGTTTTTCCTAAGGACTGAGCTATATTTTGAGGAGTATTAATTCTCACTATGTTTTTTTTAAATAACAGTTGAAGAAATCATCTAACAGGGTGAATATAGGTTTCCTAACGGACGGTATCTAGAGGTAAATTCAACTCCCTAAATCCTACTTTTGCCAGCAAGAAAGGAATAAAAGAACTGTCAGAGAAGCGCTAATGCAGATATATATATTTTTTTTTTCAACTTATTTTTTCCTTTGCTGCCATTTAACCCATTCAAAGAGGGCAGGGCAGCGTTGTTTGCCTTTTTATGTAGAATAGACCAGCCATGCTCATACATTAATCAGTGCCAGCCGAGCTCATACATTAATCAGTACCCTCTAATGTCTGAGCTAGAAATTTATATCAGAATGCTCCAGGACAAATTTATCCATAGGTTAGCTCAAATGACCTCTCTGGATTGCATTAGAGAGGGATCTGGCACAGAGCGTTCAGCTCCCGAACGCGCAGGTGCCTGGTGGGCTGATCCAATCACCTCTGCAGCTGCTGAAGCCAGGGATGACTGCGGAGCGAGAACCTCAGCCACGGCGTTCGGCTTCGTGGAGAACTGCACTGTGCTGTGCCTCCTTACTAAGGTGTAGGAGAAACAGATGGGATGTAACACATGATCACATTTTACTGGGAGAGATTTCTGATGGAGCCTCCTTCCCCCACCCCTTGGCCTTCTGTAGAAAGTACAGTTATCAGCACTGCTCCTCCTCCCTGCCAAGCCCGAGCTGTGGATCCTGCAGGTCAGACGGACGTGCACCGTGCCTCACTCAGGGCGAGCTCTCTGCTCTGCCCGACAACGTGCTGTAAAAGTGCCATTCCAGCAAGTAACTCCCTGAGAACGTTCCCCTGAGCGAACAGAAAACCTCCAGTGGGGATTTCCTCAAACCCAGGGATTTCCCAGAGCATGTGAAATTGCAAAGGAAACCTTTATTTACAAAAATCTCACATAGATCATTCACTTTCTTAATTTTTAAAAATAAGTGGCAAAAACTGAATTAAATTACCAAAAGATTAACAAGATTAATTAAATTAATGATATTACTTCAGGCAAGGGAGAATGAAGCAGCATACAGACCAGCATTTCATTGTATTTGATTTCTCCACCAGCTACTGATGTTTGTGGGATTTTACAGGTGTGTAAGAACAGCTGCTGACTAACTTCAGCTACAACTGGCTGAGCTCACTGACAGAGGGAAAAGCGCACGTACCACAGGCTGCAGCGGGGCACCAGGCATCATGGCGTTGGCAATCTGCATCTGCTGGGCCAGCATGGCCATGTTCTTCTGCTGAATCAGGTTATTGCGTCCATTGATCTCCAGCTGCGTTTTTAAGTGTGGTGGTGGGTGAAGATATTTGCAGTTTTCCCTTGAACATCGACCCTGAGGAAGAGAATTGACACAACTGGCTTAGAAGTTGTAGGTTTGTCTTCATTCCTCGTGTCATCTGCTAAAAAAACCCACACCGCACAGTACAGACCTAGGAGGAAAGCCTCCCACTACCTCCCTGGGACGTCATATACTGACCAGAGCAACTCGACAGTTCTATCAGCGGTTTGCTCTGCCTTTCTGAACTATGTATTTCTGCAGTACAACCACTAAATCCTGTTTCTTTTCCAAGCTGCCTCAGTTGTTCTGAAGGCAGAGCCTGCCCATCCTCTGCGCGCACACGTTCGTGCTCAGTGATGCCTGGGGATGCTGTCGCGCAAAACCACCCTCAGCTCTCTCCTCTAACACCCTCCTGACAGCTCAGTTCAGTATTTGAGCTGTTTTGCACTAACAAACCACCCTCATTTCAGCACCCCCTGTCCCCAAGGCATTTCACAGCGATATGAAATGGTTGGGAAAGGCCAGCGCTTTGGAACAGCCTCATTTCTGACAGAGCTGCCTCGGGGACAGAGGGCAGAAGCAGCGCGGTCTGGCTGCGGCAGCGAGCCCGCAGAAGCTCTCAGGATGCTCTGAAGGCGTTCAGGGTTCGCTCCTCCTTCTGCACAGGGGCACGGGAATCACCGAGCACACAGCCAGGCCTGTGGGCAAACCAGCACCACGTGCAGGGAAACAGCACCAGCTCTGCGCCCTCACCCGACCCGGCACAGCATCTCTGAAGAAAACCTCCCACAGACGATGTGTTTTTGTAGCAGTTGTGCAAAGCAAACGAGAAAATCAGAATTGACTTGTTTCTAAATTTTTCATTAAATTCAGATGTGGTAAACAACAAATTTCGTGCATTAATTTTATTTGGATGAAAGGACATTCATCAATTTGACAACCATTCACATCAAGAAGTAATAAAAAATAATTCCATATACAATATCTAGCCAAACCCCACTGCACCTCCTTGTTACCAAGAAAAACAGCTTCACATGTAAGACAACTGCTCAGTGCACCCTCTCAGCGTGGGCTCTCACCCTGTGTGCCCCCACCCGCGGGGTCCCAGCGGGGAACTGGGCACGAAGGTGACTTCTGACAATGATCCCCAAGTCCCCCCAGCTGACACCTCCCCAATGGAAGGCAGAGCCTGAGCCACAGGCAGCGCCCACCCAGCTGCTCACCACGGCGTGTGGCCCAGAGCAACCCGCTGTCCCAGCGAGGAGAACCCCCTTCGCACGGCACGGGAGCTGTGATCTCACAGGCCATGAGGCTTCAGAAAATGCACGTTCATTAATACGGAAGCTTTACACACTAATTGTTCTTTAAAATTGTAACACTGGAGCCCATAGTTCCACTAAAGGGATGATGACAGTAAAAAAAACCCCACAAAAAAACAACTAAAAAGGAGAATTGAATAATTTTCTGGAAAAAACAGATTCCTTAAATTACATTTCTTTTCCTTTACTCATTCATCTTTGAAATAAATCCAAACAGGAACAATGACAAGGCAAAAGACAGCCTTAATTTAAGTAAGAAACCATTTTTATCAGGAAACAAATTAATTCAATACAGTTCGACCTTATACTGCGATGTGCTCAGAAAGTTGAAATGTATTCTTGTGACAAGATCTGCCAGGAATCTGATCTGTACGATGAGTTTTGTCTCCCCTGAAGGCTGGGATAAGCGGTTTGCTGCTGCCCCCCTCCCAGTCTGTCTCTCCTGCTGGCAGTGCAAAGTTCTTCCAACTCATTCTCATAATTATTCACCTGAGCCATCCTTACACAGGAAGACATCCCCGATAGAAAGAAAAATAGGTAAAGCTTTGTGGATATCTTCAGGACACACACCAAGCTCACAGAAAGCCCCGTGGACACGCAGAGCACAGCTGTGACCAATGGCAAAGGAAGCTGATCTTTCAGAGCACCCGCCCGTGGTCCCCGAGCACATGTCCTTGAAGGAAACACATTTTCCATCACACAATCCCGGTCACCTCCAGAGACAACACGGACAAGCTGAGTGGCTGCTGCCCGGGACAGTGACAATGGGAAGGTGCAGATGAACAGGACCCCGGCGCAGAAGTCGGAAACTACAGGCTGAAAACCACTGCCAAAAATCTCCATCAAGAACACGGACTGCACTCGTCTCCTCTACACTGCTTAATTACCTGCTCACCAGACTCTGGGAACCTCAGTCAGCAAGGTTTAAGGCAGATTTTCATCTCTCTGAAGCCTTTGCTGACTTTTCAATCATAAAATAACGAATAAGTGAATAAATCCAGAGAAGCAGAAGTTGAGCGTGCTGGCACATTTGGGACAGTGTCCTGACATGCTGGTAGGGTTTGACCAGAATCCTGCTGGACTAAAACTGCCCAAATCCACTCGTGAGGCTCCTCAGGCACGTCCTTGAGCAGAGCCTGCCCTGAGACCAGTGGGACAGAGCCTCCCCCATGGACAGGGACCCTTGGGGTGCACAGCGTGACACTAATGGGGGAAGCACCCACGTGGCACTGGGACATTTGGGCAAAGCCCAATTGTCCAAGATCTGGTGTCTCCCTCTGCGCTCAGGACTCTGCAGGAAGGAGCCCGGCTCTCACCTGCCTTGTCCCTGCTCAGTGACACACCAGCACTGGCACTGCCAGCACCGGCACTGCCAGCACCGGGTGACAGGTGCCATGCTGCTGACAGCCCCGCACTGTGACGAGACCCAGAGCACACCCCACTCACAAGCACGCCC